AATTTGGTGTACGGGTACTTTGGACATTAAGGACGGGCGCTATTGATTTTCAAGAAGCTGGTTCAACAGGAACAAAAGTTATAGGACTTCGAGTGAATGGGGAACAGGAAAAACTGCGGGCTCAATATAATAGAAATCAACATATTTCATTCCCTAGGTCATTTATCGAGTTTGCACTTTCGCTAGATTATTCCCTATGACTCTAGATGTGTAACAATTCAATATAACTTCTCTGTGGTATAGGTCGAAAGCTTTATACATGAATTTAGAGTTTTAAAAAGTTTCAAACGCATTATCTTGATGCTGAAAGCGTACATCACGTGCACATTTGATAATCGCAGGTGTGTGATTCAAAGATGTTAAATTATGTTTCTGAAGCCACATGGATTTTGATCAAAACATGTCAAAATCGTTATTTATGCACCAAGATCGTTGGAAAAAGACCAAGAGCATTATCTCAATGACCAAAACATGAATTTGATATATTTTTGGCGACCACATAGATTTTGATCAAAACATGTCAAAACGTTATTTATGTACCTAGATCATTGGGAACAAGATTAAGAGCATTATCTCAATGTCCAAGACATGAATTTTGTGTATTCTGTAAGATTAAGATAAATTATCATTAAAAGTGATTGTAATACTGAGGATCCTTCGATATTTCGTTGTTTTTCCTGTTCCCGATTCACTCGAAGTCCTATAACTTTTGTTCCTGTTGAACCAGCTTCCTGAAAATCAATAGCGTCCGTCCTTAATGTCCAAAGTACTCGTACACCAAATTTCAACACAATCGGCCACTTTTAAAAAGAGTTAGAGCGCACACGGACGGACGGACGGACGGACGGACTGACGGACGACAATACAAAACTATAAATGATCTGAGGATCCTTAATAATTAATAATTAATATGACAACTACTTCTAGGGGAATGGACCTAGAGTCCTGGAATTTTTTGCAGTAAGTAGCCTATACCTTGAAGGTGTGCCAGACGGCCATCAAATTCGCTGTCTAAAACACCCCCCCCCCCCACGAATTATTTCCTGAGATGCTGTTTTTGAAAGTAAAACGTGCATAGCTTTTACAAACGACAATTTTGATCAAAACATGTCAAAACGTTATTTATGTACCTAGATCATTGGGAACAAGATTAAGAGCATTATCTCAATGTCCAAGACATGAATTTTGTGTATTCTGTAAGATTAAGATAAATTATCATTAAAAGTGATTGTAATACTGAGGATCCTTCGATATTTCGTTGTTTTTCCTGTTCCCGATTCACTCGAAGTCCTATAACTTTTGTTCCTGTTGAACCAGCTTCCTGAAAATCAATAGCGTCCGTCCTTAATGTCCAAAGTACTCGTACACCAAATTTCAACACAATCGGCCACTTTTAAAAAGAGTTAGAGCGCACACGGACGGACGGACGGACGGACGGACTGACGGACGACAATACAAAACTATAAATGATCTGAGGATCCTTAATAATTAATAATTAATATGACAACTACTTCTAGGGGAATGGACCTAGAGTCCTGGAATTTTTTGCAGTAAGTAGCCTATACCTTGAAGGTGTGCCAGACGGCCATCAAATTCGCTGTCTAAAACATTATTTCCTGAGATGCTGTTTTTGAAAGTAAAACGTGCATAGCTTTTACAAACGACAACCAATTGGTCTCAGATTTTGCATACGCATGCCTTTAGATGGGCTAAGTTGAAATTTAGAAAATGGGAGGGGGGTAAACACGTGTTCTACCCTTCATGGTATTCTAATGAAAGGTCTCATCGAAATAAATTGGTTTGTGATCAGGTATATTCCTTTATACCTCAAGAACGGATTGTCGGAAGAGGGTACTCACAAAGGGCTATTGAGACGTCTGCAAGAAATATATCCATTGGTGATGTCAAAACAAAAGCTATTTCGGTTTAAAAAAAATGCGCTTTATCTGCACAAGAGTTGTGCACAATTTATACTTGTTTTTGTTGTCTTGTTAAAATTTGAAAAATTACTTAAAAATATAACTGACGCTGACCGCCCAACACATGTACGATGTACGTTTATACGCTAGCTCTTGGTCTAATAGACCCAGACCGGCCGCAAATGTCGCTAGGTTACTGCTCATTAATATAAAAATATAAGAGGAATATAGAAAAGTGACAAGAATGTTATATACAGGGTGGTGACTTGCGTAACGCATCATAGGGATTTCAATGTAAAATTCATAACAATGCGATTATTGGCTCCCCAAATTATTTTAGAGCAAAAATGTATTAAGGTTTTTTGTAGAAAAAAATTTTTTACGCCAATCAACCGTATTCAATTTCAATTTTTTTCATATAAAGACGGAAAATTGGAAAAATAAAACCCGCATCTTTTTCAATAATCGGTGATGCCATGGAATTTTATAATACAAAAACTACGCCAATATCCGTCATGCCATGGAATGTCTGCTATAAAACAAATCAAATTCTATCAAAAAGTATTATATTTAGAACAGCGAACAGGGCCGGATTGACGGGGGGGGGGGGGGTGTCACACCCCCCCTAACGCGTGACCATAGTCGGCAAAACTTCAGTTAGTCGGCACTCGGCAAATCGCTATTCAAATGAAATTAATTAAATTAATATTGGAAAAAATTGCGTAAAATACGCCGGTAAGCCGGAAAACCGTTTTGTAGCCGCCCCTTCCACGCAAAATGAAGAAATATTGGTTGTTACTCTCATTGATATTACGAGGATGTGGATCCATTACCTTTCATGGTTAAAGGTCGCTTAAAAATGTTCCGCAAATTTTTCTAGCCGTTATGTTTGCATGGGTCTAAAAGTTGCGATAGGGATAGATGGTAGATAAGTATACAGGGTGGTCATTTTTAGCGCCTGACGATGTTCTTATGCTCTTATGTTGAAAACTAATGGTCAAATTGGGGTAAAGTTAAATTTAAAATGCGAATCAATCATTGAAACCACTTGTGGGATATCTCTTTTAGTTTCAATAATTAAAAAGAACTGAATTCTGCGTTTTACTAATTCTGTATTTAAAAAAAACGAGTATACCTATTTATTTATTTATTTATTATACTTCAGAAATGGGTGGTTTAGACTATGACATTATTTTTTGAATTTGTTTTGAACGTAGGGGTCACATTGAATTTTTAGATTTTTTTAATAAAGAATTTACTATGGATTTCTATATTACATTTTAAATATAACACTTAATTATTCAATTGTCAAGAGAGTGTCTTTTAGACAAAAATCGGTTTTGGATAGATTACTACTTTAAACTTAATAATAATATATAATAAAATCTTGCCAAAAGAACGCTTTACTACATATAAAGCAAGCGACATTTTTATTAATTATCTTGATTATAAATGTAAACTACCAAAGCAAATCCGCAAATGAGTTTGGCTGCAATTTCTAAAGCACTGTCGTGAAAATTGAATAATAAGGTATTTTGGTAAAATCAAAGTAGTAAATTAAAAGCTATGGTACGTCAGAGAAAAATAACTCTGATGAAAGTTCATAAGATGAAATTTAGCGACTCTAACGCAAAAAAAAAGTTCTATGCCATTCTGGCCATATTTATCAAATTCCTCTGTAAAGGTCTTCTAAACGTCCCACTTCGACTCGGTTTTCGTGCAAATAGAAATAAAATAGAATCCATATCCATGACAGCCGCGAAAAAAGAGCACTCTGTATAATCACAAATAATAAAATAATAATTATTATTATTACTTTGGTATTTATTATATAGTTTAATTAAAAATCATTTGCGTTCCTCTATGGCGGATAATTGGAATTTGGAAAAATTAGGGTCACAATGGGCAGCGTTAAAATGCCGTCGTTTAATGTTGTACGGTGTATTATTTTGAATTTTTATTGAAGTGGGCATTTTTTATTGCATACACCCCCCTCACTCGGAGCCCCTGACTACGGCCCTGACAGCGAATTCAACATAAAGAAAGACCAAATTACTAAAAACAATTTACAATAAATGTTTGAATAAGTCACCATTAACTGCAAGACAGTAACCAAGTCGATCATAAAACATCCATTTCGAACTGCTGCTAATTGATAACTGGATATCTTTTTGTTTTAGAAAATTCCATGGCATGGCAGATTATTGAAAAAGATGAGGATTTTATTTTTCCAATTTTCCTTCTTTATTATGATTAAATTGAAAACTAATACAGTTGAATGGCGTAAAAAAAATTTTTCTACAAAAAACTTTAATACATTTTTGCTCTAAAATAATTTGGGGAGCCAATAATCGCATGTTACGAATTTTACATTGAAATCCCTATGATGCGTTACGCAAGTCACCACCCGGTATACGTTTTTTGTCGATATAGTTACATATTTATTGATTTTAATGAGATCGTTTTTTCTGAATTCCATATCTTCCAAACAAAGGGGCCCCATGCATTTTTGTGGCCAGGACCCCCAATTGGTTAAAGACGCCTCTGGACTTAGTCTCATTAGGTAGCGTTTCTAAAATTTTGGCCACAATATGTGTGTTGTCTTGGGGGTGTTTAGTCCTCTCTTTATGATCTAATTTTTGTCCTTTTAGAGAAAATTTAAAAAAATGTATTTTCATTTTGGTTCAAGTTTAGATATACATATGTATGTACCTGTCTCCATCGAATTCTAAAACCTTGACATTTACCTATCTCTCAACAGTAGCTATTGTTTATTCTGTGGGTACCTAAAAATAACTATTTTTTCAACTATTAAAATTATACCTATGCTACGAAACTGTACATATGTATATTAGATAACGTAGGAATTTATTCAATTTAGGTACACGGATACTGTTCAACGATTTAACCTCCGTACTTATTTGCAATACGAATCATAATATTGCGCTCCCCAGAATTGCTACCTACTTTGTGGGTGGGTCGCGAGATTGTAATATTTTAGTCGCCTGTCTGACCTTGTAATCCTCTCACAGCAATGATTATTATAAAACCAAAACAATGCTTTTATTACTCAGTCCTTGCTGTACCTGTGTAAAGTATTGTTAAATTAATAATTTGAGAAAGTTATAAATCTTAACTAGGCACAAGATTAATGATTATTATGGTACTGTCGTAACTATGGGTACAGGTGAGGCATAGAAAATTGGACAATAGGGCGATTGTAAAGTTTACATATCAATTTGTTATGAATACATAAACACTCGGAAGTACGTGTACTACGTACATTATTTTAGGTATTAATTTAGCCAGTTTTTCAATAAAATTGGCGACATCGACAAAGTTGAAATCAACGTAATTAATAATAATTTTAGATTTTCTATTTTGCTCAAAGTAATCAAAATCTTCCATCTTTCCATTTTATATAGATCAATAATGGCTATAATTAACAAAAGATTTGTCTATGTATTCCTTGCAAATTTGGCCTGAAACTACCATCAAACATTGTTACATGTTTGTAACACAAAATTGACTATGATTTTCTGCAGTTTATAAGAATTGTAACTGGAAATTAAAATTATAAAGAACATGTCGGTTCTACATTTTCGTGCTGTAGGTATTGGCTACCATTTTAAATGATTCTATCCATGTCCGGATAGCGGTCAAACAAACGCTTACAGCAATGCGACCACTTTTTCAGAATTAACAGTATTTGATTATAACATATTAAGGAAGAGCTAATCTAGGCAGTGGAATTTATACCCTTGACAGGCGCGGCAACTACTTTTAGATACCAAATGGATATATATTAATTGCGAGTTCAATTATACACTAAATTCTATACCTACCGTAGCTTAAATCATCATAAGTCATAATATTAGGCATAAATGAGAGCTTTGTCTGCTTAGCATAGGTACCTATTAATATATTTTGGGAGCTATTAGTTTATTGTATTTTGTATGCCTACTTGATAGTGCGAATCCACCTGTCCAATGAAGTGTACAATTGTACATTCGTGGCATCCATACGTAACCTACATCATCATAATTATCATGGTAGGTATTTATAACAATGCTTAAATGTACAGTGTGAGCAACAATGATTGAAGCGTGCGTCATCACCGCTTGTTCCTATTAATATCAAAACTACCTTCTTTGTATGGAGTTGTATACGAAAATGACGTTCTGCGCTGTCACCGTGCGTCTATTCGTATTTTGTATCAAATCAGCATATGCTATGAGCGGCACATTGCCAATTTAGCTGAAGCGGCACGCTTCAATCTTTGTTGCTCACTCTGTATATCAACTCAAATTTGTTCTGAACCATGTGCGACAAAATTAAATGAATATAAATTATATTTGTGTAATATTAGTAGGTAGTAGGTATTACAATTATTGTCGTTACGACTTACCTATAAAACCATAAACCTTTTATGAACTGAACAAATGCGGAACACGAGTTCAATTTTCTGAAGCTTTAGGGAGTGCTGTCATCGATACTTACAATTTTGTTTTTTACAAACAAAAAACGTACAAAGAAAAATATTTTGCACATTAAAACACAGTCTAACGGAAGTTACAATTGCTGAAAAGAATTTCGGGTTTGGGTATTAAGTTCTTCTTGTGAACTTCTTCGTTTGGAACACCTTTCGTACTTACTTCGCTAGCTCAGATATAAAGGGGTTAAAAATAGGAAAAAATTCCATTAATTTTTCTTTCATTAAAGTTTCATTAATAATTAAACAAACAGTAAGCAATAATTTGGAAAAAATTAAAATTATTCCCATTTTATTAGCAAAATATTCATAAATTTGAATATGTACTCAAGTTTATTGGGCGACAGCGTGCTTTTGAAACAAACCTTTTTACTTCCCATGAATAAGTCATAAACAAGTATAAATTGTGTACAACTCTTGTACAGATAAAGCGCATTTTTTTTTTACCGAAATAGCTTTTGTTTTAACCCTGGTTTTGACATCACCAATGGATATATTTCTTGCAGACGTCTCAATCGCCCTTTGTGAGTACCCTCTTCCGACAATCCGTTCTTGAGGTATAAGGGAATACACCCGATCACGATAAGAGGTCGAGGAGGAGGGCTGTGGTCGGTAGAAATTAATTCGTTTCTTTGAGAACTTTCATTAGAGTACCATGAAGGATAAAATAAGTTCCACTCCCCACCCACGTTTCACCTCCACCCCGTACTTTGATAAGAGGACAGAAAGAAAGGCAGTAAGTTGGTAGAAAACGGTTCCTTTTGTTGAGACCTTTAATTAGAATACAATGAGAGATAAAATTAATTTTTAATCCCCCCCCCCCCCCCCCAGGCTCCGTCGCTCACTGATCTCGAAAAAGAGTCGCACGGGAAAGTTATAGTCTGTACAAACCAATTAATTTCGATGAGACCTTTCCCATCTCAGGAAATAATTCGTGGGGGCGGGGGGGTGGGGGGTGGGGATGAATGAAGCTGATTTTTTTTACAGACTAATGATAGGCACAGCCAATGACTATGAGAGTGTTTCTTTTTTAAATTTTTCCTCTAATTATAAGATATCTTATAATGTTAAGATAATAAGATAATCTTATAATTAAAGAAAAAATTTAAAAACGAAACACCGTTAAGTCATTAGTAGTACCTATCATCAGTCTGTAGAAAAAATCAGCTTCATTCGTCTAACCGTAACCTAGTTATATCCATAGAAAGTTCGTGAAAAACCGACTAAGAATTGTTTTTTTACGGAGTTATCAAATGCGCGTGATTTTTTTCAATATTTTTTTAAGAGCTATTATCAACGTTTTCATTTGGTGTATAACTTATTTTCTCGAAAAACAACCTTTTAGAATTGGTACCGCAAGAAGTACCCGCAGGGCCTTAAGTATTATGACCTGAGGCGGCAGACGATCGATTTTAGCATACTCTGATAGGGCAAAATGGAACTCCATCGGTTAAAATTTTGATCATTCTCGTTCAGTGTATTTCGTGCTAGCTCCCCTACTATCTCCTTTACACATAGGCTCAAACGACCGGTCGCACAACTGACTGAAATTCACAACCCCGCCGCCACTCGCTGAAATATGATATAGAAGTGATGTGGTATGTACTAGCCTATAACTGTATAAATTTACATCTTATCCAACGGGTGAAGGGGAACTGCATTGGCTTGCTCGGCACAAAAATAGGCAACAAACACTGAAACATTTCACGACAATTCATGGATTCTGGATTACGATAGGACGGTAGACACGGTCCACGCGTACCTAGCGCTCAAATTCGGGCCCTTTGTACCACCGATCGCTTTGAAAATTAGTGCACATTTGTTCTTAATATAAGAAAGGTCGGGCCAAAAAGTTACAGCCTTTCAAAAACTAGGTACTCATACCAAAAAAAGGTTTCTTTTACAAAAAAAGGGTTTCTTTTATTTATAAACTTGTAATTGGTTTTACAAGCTATGCTGATCTGGTGGGACAGAATCACCCCCTTAAGATGTGTTGTAACAATTATGTGGGCGTGAAGATGTCGAGGATCGTTCGGTATTTATCAGTCGTATCGGATTTTTCAACTCTGATCCAATACGTAGGTATCTAACAATTTTACTAGAAACTGGTATTATAGTATTAATTTTATTTATGATACCAAATACCAAATTATATATTTTGTTTAAAACAAACATTTAATATCAGTCTCTAGTGAGGAGAGGCTACAATAATTGTTTTACATCGAGGCCCTTGGATTACATGTTGCACTAACGATCTTGTATACGCGTTGAGTGTAGGTACTTAGGCCACTATTACAAACTGCCTGACACTATCTAACCATTAAGCATTTAGGATTGCTCACTCAACAAGGAGCAAAGTCATTCTAATTTTCTTAAAAGTGCGTTCTTTAAATTGTTTCCTGATTATTCTTTTGTTTCCAGATGCGAACCTGGGTGCAAATTACACTTTTAATGGAGATTTGGTGGGTAACTTCTGCAGAAAAATTTGTGCCATGTTTTGAATTATCAAGAGAGCTAAGACTTCCGTGTAAGTGTTCTCTTGGACCAATTGAAGCTGCTTTAGATGGGGATCCTGCTGTTAGCGTGAACTGTGATAAAATTGTATTCCCCGATTTTCCTCCTATTCCATATGGCGCACCAGTGGTTGCTTACAGTCAAAGGTGGGCTGGTTATCAGTCGTTACCTATTCAGGTACAGTCATTACTATAATTTAAACCAAAAAATACTCGTTTTCTTTTTTTAGATTTTTAACACATTAGGACTTCCTCTCAGGAAAGTGGATTTTTCTGGAAATTCTCTAAGAAGACTGACAGAACGACTACTTCAGGGATTGCAAAATTCTCTCGTAGAATTACGATTAGCCGATAATTTATTGGGAGACACATTAAATCCTATATTTTCAAGCAGCGAGTTCCACAGCTTGAAATACCTTCAAATACTTGATCTTAGTAGTAACAGCATAAAAGCTATTGAAGAAGGGATATTTGAAGGGTGTGAAAATCTAAAGGTGAATAAGTAACACTTTCATAAATTTATTATGCAAAGTTACCTACTGCTAAAATTCATATAATTTACCAATTCTACTATAATTACAGGAACTTTACCTGAATCACAACCGTTTCACTTCAATCCCTGTGACATCATTAAATGGGCCCACAGCTCTAAAAGTGTTGGAACTTAGGGGGAACCGAATTGGTAAGTATTTGAATCATCAATACTTTTTTGAGAGGTGCAAACTGTAATAAATGTCTGTTTTAGGAGTTTTGAAAAGAAGAAATTTCCATAACTTAAAATCACTTGAACGGATAGATTTGAGTTACAATTTAATATCAAGCATAGAGGGCGAATCACTGGAAAACTTGGAACACCTGAGAACTTTGAAACTTACACATAACAGACTATCAAAGTTTAATAGTGATGTTTTCCAAGGAGCTTACAACTTGGAGCAATTGGATTTGTCCGAGAACCTCATTACAGAATTTCCAGAAGCAGCGATGAAAGTATTTAATAGATTGAAACATTTAAATTTATCATCAAATTTAATACAAGTACGTAATGAAGCATCACAGGATAATTATTACAGAACATATTTGTAGAATTTGGACAATAATATGTTCAGTTCTTTGGTGCATCTGTATGTCTTGGACGTAAGCCGAAATAACGTTGCGAATATCGTTCCCGGAACGTTCCTAGGATTGAAGCAGTTACGAACTCTAGATATTAGCGTCAATTCTTTAAGAACTGTAAGTTATTTTGAAATATTCCGTTCCTTGAAGCTATTTTTGTAGATTGAAGATGATGCTTTTGAGGGTTTGGATAACTTAGAAACGCTTCGGTTGAAAGACAATAATATCCTTCTAATACCAGCATCGGCTGTAGGACGGCTGCCGCGTCTAACTAATTGGGAATTAGATTACAATCGAGTTGCGGCATTATCAGCAGATATATTCAAGTCGATTGCTGATCAAGTTACAAGATTGGTTATTGCTAAAAATGTAGTACGTGAACTTCCAGCCGCCACATTTCAATATTTCCAACAGTTGCAATACCTGGATTTAACTCGCAATCTGCTAACGACATTAAATTCAGATGCTTTTGTTGGCGTAGAAAACAGTCTCAAACAATTGCACCTGTCCCAAAACAAAATTAGTAGCATATCTGGCTCTCCTTTGATGCTGTACGAGCTGGAAGTGTTAGATATCAGCGACAACCAATTCTCTGATTTACCAAAATCATCATTTAGTCTATTAACAAATTTAAGATTACTAAATATAAGCAGAAGTGGCCACTTTGTAAACATTCCTAACGATCTCTTCCACAAACTTACCGAATTAGAAATAGTTGATTTGAGTCACACAGGATTAAAAGATATAACGGCCCATCTACTTCGCAAATCAATTCGCCTACAACAGGTCTACTTAAACGATAACGAAATCTCGGAAATTCACGAAGATGTGTTTTACAACTTACAAAATCTTACCAAAATAGATTTATCCAACAACAATATCAATAGCATCAAACACGGCGCCTTTGTTAATGTAATGAATCTTCAAACATTATCATTAAAAGGAAACCAACTGAACTCATTTAAAGGGGAGTTTTTCAATACAGGAACAAGTTTAGAAACTTTGGACATATCATACAATCAATTAAGCTACTTATTTCCATCGTCGTTCAGAATACATCCACGCCTAAGAGAACTACATGCGCAGTATAATAAAATTAATTTCTTTCCTGCCGAATTAATTACAACACTACAGTTTCTGGAATATGTTGATCTTTCCTCAAATGAGTTGAAAACGATTGAGGAATTGGACTTCGCTAGGCTTCCAAGGCTACATACTTTGCTAATGGCTGAAAATCAAATAGATTCTATTAGCGAAATGGCTTTTCATAACTCTACACAACTTCAAATGATAGACATCAGCAATAACAAACTCGAAAGGCTCAGCGAGCAAACCTTTGAGGGATTAATTCGTGTTAGTTATCTAAATTTAGAAGGAAATCTATTAAGAGACTTACCAGAAACAATTTTCGAAAGGGCAAAGTTGCAAGTACTGGAAAACATTAATTTAGCAAAGAATTTGTTCGAAACTGCACCTTGGCAGGCTTTAGAACGACAGTACTTCTTCATCTCTTCTGTTGATTTATCTCATAATAAAATTAAGGATATTCCGCCAGACAACAGCATCATGGTCAACATTAAAAAAATCGATTTATCATTTACTCCTCTATCAGAAGACGCAGTAAACAACGTACTTGGAGAGCCAAAGACAGTTCGAGACTTAAACTTAGCAGGAACAAGTATATCGAAGATAATTCAAATGGAGACTCCCTTTTTACATCATTTGAATTTATCTTATAACAACATTAGTGAAATATCAGATAAAGACTTTGAACGAATAACTTTATTAGAAACTTTGGATATCTCTTACAATAGATTAACCAATTTGAGCACAAATTTCTCAAAAATTTGGGCAGTACTGAAAAATTTGCAGTCCCTAGATTTATCTGGAAATCTTCTCACAACAATAGCGCTAGATGATTTTAACGGTTTATCTTCACTACGAAGATTAAACTTACATGATATGGCAGAGTGTCACAGCTTGGAAAAGAAAGCGTTTAAGTCTGTTCCAAACTTAGCCGAACTCAATTTATACAATTTTCCCGTCTTAGGATACCTAGATGTTCACGGACTGTTACAGAATTTACCGTCGCTAGAGAATTTGAATATAGAAATAAAGGACACGACCATAGGAAGCGATCAATTACAACCAATCCTTCATTCACGTTTACGGGTACTGGGATTGAGAGGATTTCGATTGCAAAATATTTTGTCGGGAACACTTTCAGGTGTTAAAGGCGGCCACGTTGCCATTGGTATACAAAACACCTCCATTACGACGTTACCGCCAGCGCTGTTCTTCCCAGTACCTCGATCTTCACGAATCATCTTAGATGTAACGGGAAGCAAATTAACAACTATTAGTCCACAAATGCTAGTTGCCTTGGATGATAGACGCGGGGACTTAAAAATTTTTGGACTTGAAACAAATCCAATTGTGTGTGATTGTAATGCGAGAGCGTTAAGGCGCTGGTTACCAACCCATATGGGTGACATTCAATGTTTCGATCCTTATCATCTGAGAGGGAAATTGCTTGTGGAAACCGGTGATGAAGATTTAACATGTGACCCACGAAAGCAAATCATAGCTCAACCTACAGTGCAACCAAATTCAAAAACTACTCGCTTGATGTCAAAGACGACAGAACCGGAAATAATATGGTCAATAGCTTCCACGGACAAAATAGCACCTAAAGTATTTCCAAAAACTTCAAACAGCAGCTCCTCTTCAGGGAATGATGACACCTTGATTATTGGAATTGTAGGTGGTGTTGTAGCATTTATTGCGATATTAATAATTGTTATATGCATGATACGCTTGCGCACAACAAATAGTCCAGTTGTGGGCATTTTACCCAATGGTGGCCCCATGATAGCGCCTACCCATACTGGCCAGGGAAGTAGCTGCGCATGTAGCGTGAAGGGCGGCCCACCGATGTATACAATCTCCCCCACATTCCAACAGGGCTATGCATCTACACTGCCACATAAATTCAACATGTCAATGCAACCAAATGTTCGATCTGCTTATTCAACAATGGGCCGAATACCATCCTACCAAAGTAATCTTCAATCATACTATGTTGCCTTTCCTCCGGATGAAAAAAGCTATCGATAGCATTGTTTACGATTGTAGTTATGTGTATCAAATGTTGTTTTTTATTTAAGTTATATCTAATATATAAGAAATGTGTGGCAAAAATTTTTACTTTTTATTAAATAATAATAATTGAAATACCCATGTTTGTAATAAATTATCCAGGTATAGTAGAATGGACTGGCAAAAGGCTTCTAGAATAGATTATCGTGTGAACTTTGTTGCTAAAATGTAAAACCTATTTTTTATCGTTCCTAAGACTATTGCAATGCAAAATGACCTGGTCGCCCAAAAATCGTAGAAGGAGGGGAGTGGTGGGAAGCCTTTTTTAAAAAAATGCAATTTTTTTCATCGTTTTTCGGATCTAAAGGTGCGTATTCACCTGCAACAAAATGCCCCGAACGAATCAAATGCGCCGCGCGCGCTAAATAGATTCCGACAAACATTTTGCGGAGGAAATTTGTGCTCTTTGTAGAGTTTGCGGTATTTTCTGCGTTCCCATCAAAATTGGAAAATGTTTGGCGCATTCTATTCTGTTTGTGTCAACGTACTGACGACAAATTTGTTACAGCGCGCGCGGCGCGTTTGGTTTGTTTGGGTCATTTTGTTGCAAGTGAATACGCACCTTACGATAATTCATTTCTCAAATTTACCTGTCCATACGGACACTATAAATATCTTTTTTTAATTTATAAAAATACGGTACTTTGGCAATGGGCCGCAAGACTTTAGGACGCAGACATTAAAACGCCGACATTAGACCGCAAAGGGAATAGATCGCAGACTTTAGGCCGCGGACATTGGGACGCACTTGAACATACAACATGGCGCGAGAGTAGATGTCGGGAAAGTGTGCTCCGTAATACTTTTGTAATTGGATCAATATAAACGAATATATAAATATAAAGTGCATGGTGCCTAATCAGGTGAATTAATATCAAAGTGCCAAACTATCAACGGAAGGTCCAGTCGTTATTAAATTTCGAAAACGGATACACATTCTGTCGCATTTATGTCATACGCGCTGCGTTCTCAAGGTGAAAAGTCAACAATGGCCGATAAACAAACAAGTGAGCCGTCAAATAAGGATATTATGAACTTACTGAGAGACTTCATGCAAACGCAAAAAGCAAGGGAAGAAAATCTTAATCAATCAATAAACTCATGCCACGAAAAATTGGATGCAAACATCGAGGAGCTAAACAAGATTAATAATCGATTAGATTCCTATGCAGAGTCGTTGGTAACACTGAAAAATGAATCCAACGATTTACGACAACGTTTAACGTCTTGTACAAATGAGATGGACAAACTGGAGCAATATACAAGAAGAAACTCATTGGAAATACACGGTATACCCTTCATCAAGGGAGAAGACCCTTATCTCTTAATACAAAAAGTTGCGTCCGCTCTGTCCATAGAAATATCAAAAAATTCCATAGACATCTGCCACAGGTTACCACTGCGCTCATCAGAAGCTACTCAAAAACCGCCAGCCATTATCTGTAAATTCGTTAATCGCTATCTGAAAGAAGACATTCTTGGTAAACGCAAGGTAATGCGTAATCTATCGACAACTGATATCGGGTTCACGACCGCCGATACAATTTACATCAATGAAAACTTGACCACCCATAGACGCCAACTGCTATACAAGGCGCGCCAACTACAAAAGGAGCTTCATTTCAAATTTTTGTGGACTAAAAATGGCAATATCTTTGCACGTAAGGATGAAAAGTCCCCCGTTACCGAAGTCACTGCAGATAGTATTAAACGCATTAAACTCGGAGGCCTGTAAATGATGATATATTATGTGTTCTAGTTGCGTTAATGTTTTTATTGTTAATAATAATTAAGTTATTATTGTACTTTTTCGTGTACCCGTTGTTTATTGTATTTTGTCCTCATATTTTCATATGTCTAGTTTTTTAACCGTTGCTCATTTAAATGCGAGATCGCTAATGTCAAATTTTTTAGATTTAAAGGAAATGCTAACTGCACGTAAATATGATATACTTGCCGTGACAGAAACGTGGTTGACGTCCAAAATACCAACCCATGCTGTGACTATCCCCGGTTACAATTTCATAAGATTGGATAGATCGAGTGAGAATCGAGGCGGAGGTGTAGGTATATACATAAAAAATATTTTCACGTTTTCAGTTATAGGTACAATCATTAAAAACTAATACCCATACTGGCATAGAACAACTGTGGATTAACTTAATGTTATATAACACCAAATTAATAATAGGAGTTATAAATAGAAGGCAAGAATTCCCATGCGCCGGATTTTTTGATGCATTGGAGGAATCTCTCTCTACACTAATGACTTACAGTGAGCACGTGATATATACGGGCGATTTTAACATTGATTACCTAAAAGTTGACGACTATTTAACAAACCAAATGGTTTCATTATTTCATATCTTTGGTCACCAACAAGTAATAAATCAACCTACACGAATAACCAAGACGAGTAATACGCTAATCGACTACATTGTGGTCTCGGAAAACATTAAAGTACAAAATACAGGAACGATTTCTTTGCACGATTTCTCGGACCACCATTTAGTATATTGTAGTGTACTTGTCGATTGTCCCAAAAAGCACAACCCCACCTATTACACGTATAGAGACTACCGTAATTTCAATCTTGACGATTTCGATAGAGATCTTAGAGCTATAAATTGGGAAATTCTGTATGCATTGCCTGATATTGACAACAAAGTAGAGTTTTTGAATACGAATGTGCTAACCCTTTTTGACAAACACGCAGCTCTGCGAACTATAAAAATCACCAAACCCCCTTCTCCGTGGATCACAGATAACATAAAGCTTTTGATATCATTGCGGAATAAAGCGTTAATCAAATTCAAGAAAACAAAAAAGTCTTCTCACTGGGATTATTACAAGCAATTGAGAAATTTCACAACTAACTCCATTAGATTAGAAAAAAAAAGCGTACTTAGAATCGAAACTGAAATACTGCAATGGAAATCCTAAGAGTACGTGGAATAAATTGAAAAAATTAGGCATTACCAGTATTTTAAAAACTAACGAAGTGCCTGTAGACCTTCGTCAAGTAAATAAAATTAATGAGTTTTTCACAAACACCGACGACAATGACAATGTAAAGCTTGATGAACGCAAACTTTTTGCGCACTGTAGTGGTTCTAGAACGCCTACAACTCAATTTAAGTTTACTTTAATCACTGAAACGGACGTTTTGAAAACATTTCTGACTTTAAAATCAAATTCACTTGGGCACGATGGTATCAGTCTAGATATGTGGAAGTTATGTTTACCGTACTTGGCACTACCTATTACTCACATAATAAATTATTGCCTTAGCGAAGGCACCTTTCCAAGCGTGTGGAAAATTGCTAAAATTACCCCACTAGCTAAGGTAAGTAGTCCGAAAGAATTGAAAGACCTAAGGCCTATAAGTATTTTGCCCTGTCTCTCGAAAGTTTTAGAGAAAACCATGGTTGTTCAAATTAGACACTATGTAGATCACGAATGTGTACTTCCACAAATGCAATCGGGATTTAGAGCGGGTTACAGTTGCAATACGGCGCTTGCACATGTGACGGATACCATCATGTCGGCCATAGATAAAAATAAACTTGCCGTTCTAGTGCTTACGGACTACTCAAAGGCCTTTGATACAATTTCTCACAATGTACTCCTGGCGATTCTTGAGCATATAGGTTTTGGTACGATGGCTACAAATTTAATTAGGAATTATATATCGTCACGCTTCCAATGCGTTACCCTTGAACGTGAAATTTCTCACGCGCTACCAGTGACAGTTGGTGTACCTCAAGGTTCTGTCTTAGGGCCCCTTCTATATATAATTTACACATTTGATATTATAAACTCCATCAAATATTGTACATATCATTTATATGCAGATGACACCCAATTATTACATGAATTCTTACCACATGAAACTCAAAATGCTGTATCTAATATTAATGAAGATGTGCAGGACTTGGTGGAAATATCAGAAAGACATGGGCTGAAAATTAATGCACAAAAATGTTACGTGATGTTATTTGGTAGAGTAAAAATTCGCAAACTTATAATTCCTGAAATAAAAATAAAGATTAAAGATACGCCCCTACCGCTTGTCTATAACGCTAAAAACCTGGGATTAATATTGGACACTGATTTAAGATTTAAGAAGCATGTCTCGGAACTTCTTCGCAAAGCCTACTTAAATTTAAAAACTCTGTATAACAATAGACTAATATTAAATCGCAGTTTGAAAATCATGCTTTGTGAGTCATTAGTACTATCACAATATAGTTATTGTGATAATATATACGGCCCATGTTTGGATGCGGTAGACAGTGGAAGAATCCAGCGTATGCAGAATTCTTGCCTACGACTTATATTTGGAATAAGAAAATTTCACCGAATATCACACAAACTAAATGACATTAAATGGTTAAATATGTCTAATTTGAGAAATTATCATACAGCTTGTTTTATCACTTATAATTGCACAAGAGGTTTGTATTTTACCGACAATTCAACTCATGTATAAAAAATCGCATAAGCCGCAGTGCAATTGTCACTTTGACAGCGGCAAAAGTTACCTGCATCTTTTCCAGCGACAAATGCACTATATAGTGGTTTTTTCACTATTCATTTTCGAACCAATTATCGCATTATCCTTTCCCATATGACTAGTTTGACGTCTGTCAATAATTGATTAGTTTCGTGAATTTCTTGTTCGTTAAATTGTCCTGCCGAATTACACTCGAGGTTTGTATTAAACCGAGTAAATTTGGGTTGTTGCAACTCAAATCTGTATCCTTTTAGCCATTGAACTCGAAAAACTGTCAACCTAAAAATGCTCCACCTGCGGTGTCGCATTTTTATTAGTTGACAGTTTTTCTCGTCTAATTGCTAGGCAACAGATTTTCATTACCTAAACAACCCAAATTTACTCGGTAAAATACAAACCTCTTGTGCAATTATAAGTGAGTAAATTTGGGTTGTTTAGGTAATGAAAATCTGTTGCCTAGCAATTAGACGAGAAAAACTGCCAACTAATAAAAATGCGACACCGCAGGTGGAGCATTTTTAGGTTGACAGTTTTTCGAGTTCAATTGCTAAAAGGAAACAGATTTGAATTGCCACAACCCAAATTTACTCGATTTAAATACAAACCTCGAGTGTAATTCGGCAGGACAATTTAACGAACAAGAAATTCACCAAACTAATCAATTATTGACAGACGTCAAACTAGCCATATGGGAAAGGATAATGCGATAATTTGTTCGAAAATGAATAAGTGAAAAAACCACTAGTGCATTTGTCGCTGGAAAAGTTGCAGGTAACTTTTGCCGTTGTCAAAGTGACAATTTCACTGCGGCTTATGCGATTTTTTATACATGAGTTGAATTGTCCATAGAATCATTTGTAACAAAACTCCTGGGTATCTGCATGATAGAATCAAATTTAGAACTAATATTCATAATTTAAATACAAGAAGTAGAATGTTCATCTCAATCCCAATTCATAAAACAACTTTATTTAAAAGATCTTTTAGCTATTACGTCCCGAAGATATATAACTCACTCTCATCTCATATATAAAATCCTCTACAATGAAAAATTTTAAAAAATATATGCGGATGTCACTGCTAGAAAAACAACATAGGTCTCTCTAAGCCCTTTTCTTTTTTTAGTTTTAATCTCATACACATAAGTGATATCGATCATTGGCTGACTAGGAACTTCGTTTAAATAAGCAAGGGTTAAGTGGAAGAACAGATGGTAGAGTTTTTAACTACCAATCTGAACTTCGCCCTTTTGAACTTAACGGTGAGCATTTCCTCTATGTCTTTTTTCTTTTTTTTTTACTGCACCTGCTTTTTTGTTCACTGTTTTTTTTCAATAAACGGATATTATTATTATTATTATTATTATTATTATTATATTATTAAGACGCAAACATTAGGTCCCCGACATTGGGATGCGGATATTGGGTTGCTGACATTAGAACGCAAATATCATGCAGGTTACCTTACAAAGCAGACATTAGGATTTAGGTTTCAGGTAGGACAATATAAGATATAATGAAATTAAACCAATGCGAATGAATTTTTGAAGTGAATGAGAATGAACAATGGTGGGCAGGAAAGAGTATAGGTAAAACATCATGTTTTACTTGCTTATTTTAATGCGGTAAAAGTAAAGAAATCCACATTATGAACGACCTACATAATGTTGCCATCCACATTCAAACCTAATGCAGCAATGCCTAATGACCAATGTACCTACAGCGATCTTTTGTGATTACAGATTTAGACTGGGTTACAATTAGGTATGAATACAATGTTAGAAACACAAGTGAGTTACCAGGGCTGTTAAAGTTTGGCCGCCCATCGAATATTGTTTATTGGGGTCCTCTAATCAAATTTGGAAGGGAGGCCGGTGGATCCACCGGTAACTTCCGGTTTGATGACGTCATAAAGTTTGCAATTTCGTTAATTCTGAAAAACGCTTCTATCTCAGTGACCACTTGTCTGATTTTCATGATCTTGAGCTCATTGCAAAGATATTAAAGGTCCAGTGAAGCATAAATTGTCTACATTGAAACTAAAGATAATATTCTTAGAAACGCAACAAAAAAAATCCGGTGTCAGTGTCATGTCCCGTTTACGGAGGCGCGGAAGGACCAAGAGGTGATATTTTTTGTTCAACCCGGCTGGCCGACTTTGAATTCGACTGACCGAGTTTAAACTCCTCGGCTTCTACCAAATCTTTTAATTTTTAATTT